TACTCTAACATTCAAAACATTTGACTTTTTGCATAATATTTGATTTTCATCAAAATATTCAAATTATGCATTATATGTCAAAATTCAAATTTCTATTGTGTGTGTGAGGCCGGGACTTCACCCTTCGACAGAAAACTGGCTATCAAACTGGGGCCAATAAACAGGTGACTTATTTCATAAACAGGACTAGGTCTGCAAAGGAACAGGGAGTAATAAGATTTAATTGTTGCATTCCAAGACCAAATTGACACATCCCCGATTGTAGATAATGAGGGAGAGTGGGAGAGCGACCACCAGGAAAAATTTGGTGGTCACCTTACACAGAGTTCAAAGTGGAAATTGTGGAGCTCCTTCAGAGGGGGCAGTGGCAGGGATTGATTGAATCCAGCTGTGCCTTCTCTGAGACAGATAAAAACACATTTAGCTGAAATTTATGAGATGATCGCATGGAGAAGAGATTGACTCAACCCAGAGGGAAATGGTCCAGGCATGAGTGTTCGACCACCCCACAGCTCGAATTGTGTCCCTAGCAACAGACCAGGGACTAATAAGAGCTACAGGGGATCACCATTCGGACCAACCAAAAAGCAGGATTTCAAATAAAAATCACATATAAGCCAAAGATCCCAAAGACACGGGGGAGGTTGTCAGTGAGATCGTTAAGACCTGGAACCATCAACTAACATCTGCCATGTACCCAGCAAAGACCTGGTTTCAAGGAAAAAGAGGACCCAATTTACCACACCGACGATTTCACCACCATGAGACCTCCCACCGCTGGATTTTCTTCTGACAACTAAAGGAGGAGAAAAGGAGACAAACTTACACTGGTCAGCAGAGTCCACTTGCAGATACAAACTTTCCTTTGCTTCATTTTTGTGGCCTTTCAACTTGATGGCAGTAGTGCTCCGATGTAAGCATGTCATTTACTTTAATAAATGTGGTTACTTGTGTAAATTCAGTTTGTGTGTGAGTCTCTCTGTGTCCTGCAATCACTACCCTCATACATCCAAAAGATTTCTCATGTCATCTTGACAGATTGTGGGAAAAAGCAAGGGTCATTGTGCCTTACACTTAAGGCAGATCATAGTCAGACAGCAACATCCTTACAGGAGTGACATGCATCTTCACGTGTTACAAGAATTGCAAACAATTCTCAAACATATTCAATAATATGCAATCAATAAGCCTTATTCATCAGGTATCTTTTACTGTCTTGGAAAATTCAGAAATTTTCAAATTCATTTAATTTCAATATATTCTTGAAAAATATTAAAAGTGATAAAAATGATCAAATAAAAAATGGTGAAAAGCTTTAGATGAGAAAAAAAATTGATATTGGAAAAAATCCAAGAATTCCGGTTTCATTTTGTATTTACTATCTTTTAAAAAAAAATACATATTCTGAATTCATAGGATTCATCCATTGGTCACAGTAAAAAAGTCATTCATTGCTTGCTGTGAAAAAAGAAATTATCAACAACATTCCACCAAACTAAGTTTTTAGAAAAAGTTCTGGTTAAAATTTTTAATGTATACTAATTTTAGCCTATACTGTTCAGATCATTCATGAGCAACCTGTGGCCCCTAGGGCTTTGGTGATTTAATTTTATTTTCTGTTTTCTGCCTTGTGTCATTATGCAATATTAATTAAGTTGGTATTCATCACAAAAAACATTCAAACTAAACTTGAACAGTGAAAAGATGAGAATAAATGCTATATTACTAGTTTTCATATTATTTCAAGTAGTATATGTAATGTTAGTATCTAGTATACTGAATCTAGTGTTATAAAATATGTTTGGTAGTCAGAAGGCTTAAAGGTTTCATCTCCATAAGGAAAAATGTATGCAGCCTACTGGAAGCCTAGCACATGAAGTTTCTTTAAGGTCCATATCCAGAACAGGTTGCTCACCACTCATTTAGATCACATGATTACTTTTACTGCAACAATGGTATAGTGCAAAGTAAGTACAATATATTATTATTTTGATGAGTAGCACATAGCACTCACCTGCTTGGATTCGAAACTTACCCTGATAGTTGATCATGGGTTCGTGCATCACCAATGGGATGACCAAGTGAAGTTTTCCAGTTTTCTTCAAGTTAGTAACACCTAAATAGGGCCAATTCCTCATAAAATTCCTCCCAAGAGGCAGACTCGTGTGTTGTGTTCCCATAACCAAATAAACCAAACTAACTGTAATAATTTTTCTATAAACTTGCTATTTATGAGGACATACTTCCCATGTAGTTATAGGCATTCTGATAATGTTCTTAAAATGGGTTTTACCACATATATTTTTTAAAATTTGTGATTAATAACATTGGGTGTAACAATTACTGTGAGAGCTACTTTATAAACTCGGGCAAAGCCAGACATAACAAGCTAGTTATTTTATATTCTATAGTTGTTCATTTAATAATATTTTGAAGTTTATATTTTATTTAAAATTACAAATAGCCTAATATTTTTTATAAAGTTATTCTTGTGATNTTTTATAAACATTTTAAAAAGTAGGCAAAGCCAAACCTCTTTGGATAGATATTTAACCAAGCCACCTCTATTCAGTGAAAGTGCTGGTGAAAGTGAAGGAAATAAAGCAAAAAGCAGTGAATAAAAATTAAAACAAAAAATATAAAACAACACTAATTTTTTTAATCTTTTCTAAGTTATTTTTAAGTTATTGTTACATTATGTTATGTAGGTTAGATTTTAGTATCATTTCCGTTCTTTCCCTCCTCCGCCATCAGTTTACACCGCCACCTTCGTCTATCATCAAAAGTAAAGTGCAAATAAAACTATATATTTTTAAAATTAATTATTATTCTATTATGGTTATTTATACATTTACAACTACAAAATGCATTTTTCAGTGTTTTCCTTACTATATTTATTATTATTTTTTAATGTACTACTTAGCTTTAATTTGAGTGTTTTTTCGTTGGAACGAATTATTTGGTTTTACATGTAATCGTATGGGGAAAAATGATTCACCTTACGACATTTTCATGATACGATCTCAGTTTCGGAACGAATTAATTTCGTATCCTGAGGTACCACTGTACTCATATTTTTTGTGTCCGAAAAATTTGTTAAATTTCCACTATAAATACATAATTCCTGCCAAATTTCCCACTATCACAATTTGAATTATTTCTGTGTATGATTGTGAGTCTACTTCTTCGGAAGGATGACTGTAAGATTAGACAGACTGCGGACAGGACACATATATAGTATTTTGAAGGAAAACTTGGTGTATTCCCAAGTTCACTTTGCATACTTCCTGGGGTATGCATACCCCACTTTGGAGACCACTGCTGTAGATGATGTCACTGAAGAAAGGTGCAATGGATCAGGTGTGGCAGAGTGGCAAAAGTACAATATTAAGTCTACAAGACAAACATGATGAGCAGTTATAAAACCTGTTGTGACCCCACAGCTCCTCACAAACTACATTTTAGAAACCACAGATATAGAATATAAAAGAACAAATAAATTATTTTAAACAAAAAAAAAAATCATTGTAAGACCAACAGCTAAACATAATAACTAAAACTCTCAAACCTCAATAAAAGCATAAAGAAATTGCTAAATTAAGTGTGAATTAGTTAACACTTATTTTGTGCTTTTATTTGAAATAAAAAGCACAAATTAAGTGTTTTTTAAAATTATAAAACAACAAATATAATTAAAAGAATAATACTGGCAAAGTAAACACTAGTATTGTGTTGTATTCCAAAGACACATGGCAAGTTTTCAATCAAATAATAAAAGAATAATAATTGAGAAACAACTGCACAAATAAAATCAGTAAGACAATTCTGATTCTTCCCTCATGCCATTCTCCCACCTAAACAAATTTGAACACTTCCACTACTGAGAAGACTTCCCACCACTAAAGCCTAGCCTGCAGGTTAAAAATAATTTCATATCCAGCAAGAAAAGATTTTCAGGATTTAAAGAGTTAACATTAAGTTTATAAAAACATTGTTCACTGTTGTTTTGACCATTATAAACGGTTAATCTAGTTAATCTTCTGCATACTTTTTATTTTTTTCTATATTTTTTTTTTAAACTATTATTCTCATGTAATCAATAATCTTACATAAACTATTTATCTTAATAATTATACTAATTACATTATAGTTAGTCTATTTTTAATTTAATAATTCATTATCTTATTTAATATAAAGGAACACAAGCAAAGTCTAGATGTTGAGGTCAATCTAGACAGCAGACTGAAATGGAAGTTATTCTCGCTTATGATGATGAAACTAAACAGCCAAAAAAGCAGAGAAAAAAAGTCAGCCAATCAGTATTAAAGAATGCAACCAAGGTCGGAAAAACAAAGTTGCATGAAGAACACACATTATGACAACAATTGTTCAAGAAGTCATCACTGATTCTTCTCAATAAATACAAATTTTTGATATCACAGAGGATCTAGAACAGGTTGGAATTGGAATCATTCAGACATTATAGTAAGCTGTTGATTTAGATTTTGTGTCAGAGTTTGGAGGTTAGATTGAGCCATTAGTCATTCCTTTAGCCACAAATGCAAGATTCAGTCTTCTCAAAACTGCCCTTAACCCAAATGTTCAACCAACTTATTTTGATCTTGGACTGATGTTGTATGTATCCAAGTTGTTTGGTTTTACATTTTGAATGTGAAAAAGTTGGTAGTAGAAACAACTTTCATTTTAGTGACTGTTGCCATAATGGAAAAGTAAAGTTACAGACTACCCTTTCTTATAATGTTCTTGAGAACATTCTGTGTAAAAGAACTCAACTACTTCAGAATACCTAAATAACATCTGAAGGGACAACAGTGTGTTATTTTCTTCCTTTATTGCAATGAGACTGTATCTCCAGCAGGCCACAGACTGTACATAACATATTTTCATGAAATGACTGGCATGCCAAATATAAATGGGGGGATCAGCATGCTGGGAAAAAAAATCAGCAAGACAATTATAATATAACAATATACACAAACCTCTGTGATGGAATTTTTTCTCCTGGATGAGACTGAAACAAATATTTTAATGGTAGAGGTTGTACACCAAAGCTTTCTAACTGTTCACTATGCACTATTACAGATCCTCTTGGCATTGGATTAAGTCTTCTATGTGCAAAGGTACATCCATAAACTGCTAAAGGACATCGTTGTTCTATCCATCCATTTAAACCTCCATGAATATCACTGTGAACATTTTTATAATGCCAGCAATATTCATCCCGTCTAAAGTCCTATAAAAATTATAAATAAATAAAAACTTTCCAATAAACATTAATCTTTAATAAAAATAAAAATAAGAAAACTTTTGCATTTTGTAACAACATTTCCTAAAATTTATTCATATTGTTGTTGTCATATTATTAATTTTTTTAAAACAAAATATTCTAATTTTCAATCTGAATTAATTTCTAAATCTTTACCTGTCCACATATAAAAGTAAACATAGACTTTGATTTTGATTGGTGTCTGGTTCGAGTCTCTAAATTAAGATTTAATCCTATTGATGGACCTGAAGGAACATATAATCCACCAGGCATTGTAGGTACTGAATTGACATCATTATAAGAACAATCTGTCATAGGTGCTGAAGAAATATCACTAATGACAACATTGTTAACAAATAAAATATCATCGTAACTTGCACAAAGTTTCATCCAGTCACCCTTGCAATGTGATTCTTTTTCATATTCATTTTCATTTTTATCCATTCCATTTGTATAATAATTATCATATAGCTTTTCTGGGTTTAATTCTATCTGACTTCTATTCTGTAAAAAAAATCTCATTAATAATATTGATAAAATATACATACATCTTTTCATAAATAATATAGTTTTAAAAATTAATTATTTTTCTTTACTTGGGACTGCATAGCAGAATATTTTATAGGACTACTACATAATGCATACTGAGATGACATCTGAAATGATTGTTGCAGCATTCTCTGATCTCTCATGGCTAATGCGACATCTAATTGCATTTCATGTAATGGTCGCTGATGATGTAATTGTATTTGCTGAGGAAAATGTACTGGCCAACGATTCCATTCCATTTTACAGTGGATTACACTTGCTGGACAGGTAGCTAAATGAGTACCTAAGTACTTTCGCAACATTTTGGCAGGACATCCATTAAGTACATTGATACAGGGTACCTAAAAGAATTTAAATTAAAATAAAATTAAAGATCTCAAAAAACAATAAACAATAATTCTATAACTTAAAGATCTCATAAAGATATGAATGCTTTAAAATTATTTTATTCCATATTTTAAAATTAAATGTTCTATTTCAAAAGTTTCAATAAAGTATTCTAAAATACAATGTGACTTCTATTTACAAAATATTCAATTTATGAGAATTTAATACAATGTGCTGATTTATTTCTCTTCCCCATTTACAAGTTGTACTGATTAATAAGCACTGATTGATATTTACAAGAAAAAATAATTCTAATAATGAGTAGGGATGTCCTGTACCACAATACAGTGGGTGATCAGTTAACGAACATAATCCGTTCCAAGACTTTGTTTGCTATTTGAATTGTTCATTAACCAATTATCAATTTACCACAGTTAGGAAATTTGGTTAATTCATTCTGGAGACGCCAAAAAATAAAAAATATATACTTTTTACTATGTTTATTTGTATGTAATAATAAAAATACATATATATGCAGTCTTGTATTTTTATTAGTCATGTTTTTTCTGTTTGTGGGNGCACTGATTGATATTTACAAGAAAAAATAATTCTAATAATGAGTAGGGATGTCCTGTACCACAATACAGTGGGTGATCAGTTAACGAACATAATCCGTTCCAAGACTTTGTTTGCTATTTGAATTGTTCATTAACCAATTATCAATTTACCACAGTTAGGAAATTTGGTTAATTCATTCTGGAGACGCCAAAAAATAAAAAATATATACTTTTTACTATGTTTATTTGTATGTAATAATAAAAATACATATATACACAGTCTTGCATTTTTATCAGTCATGTTTTTTCTGTTTGTGGGGCGTTAAAGAATCTGTCCAATATCAATTGCTTTTCTCTCTTCTTCAGGATTTTTCGGAAGTAATTAATAGCATTGTTGTTATAGAGATACCTCAACCTATTAACCTCAATCTGGTTTGGATGCCATTCTAAAACCATTGTTCTGACATCCTCCCACTTCTTCAAAAGATCTTTAATACAGATGTTGGCATTAATCCTCTTTTTCATAACAAAACATATCTCGTCAAGTTTCTTGGTGTTCTTCATTCAAGAGTTCTTGGCATTCTTCTGTCGTCAGATCAGTTTCAGGTTCCATTATGAGCTCTTCAATGTTCTTTATTTCTCAGATGTGATTTTTGTTACTCCTTTAGCTGCTTGAGTCTTCTTGATTATACTGTATCTTTCTTAGATAAGATTGAACTGCAGCCTACTGTAGATCTGTTCAAGCTATACCGCCCAGCAACATCAGACATCTTCTGCCCACTCTCTACCTTTGCTATTATACTCTCACCTTTCAAAAATAAAAACCGACATAAAACTTAATGAGTGCCTGCCTGACAGTCTCGTGATACAGTAGAACCTCGAAAACTCGGCTCTCGATAACCCGGCACTCCGGATAACTCGGCCACTCCCTGGCAGGGCAAAAAAATCCTTAGTTAATTAATTTTCATTATAGACAGCTTTATAAAAGTATAAAAGCTCTTATAAAGTATTTTTCTGAGGTCTGTCTTATCAGGTAAATTACTGTACACAGTGTATTCATTAATTTTCATTTTCATGTAGTAAAGGCTCTATGCCTTCATAAAGGATGTACTTTTCCTTTGTTTAAGGGTATTTGGGCAGTTTATTCTCTGTT